ATTAATAAGGTTTCATGAGTAATCTCAGGCACAGACTTCAAGACGTTTCTATAAGCAGATGTAACTCTTCTGGACAACTGTCCTAAATAAAACAAATAAGCTAAAAGGCTTATTAACAGAATTGGCTCCTAGCCAAACCTTGATTCTTAACTCATAATCAATAACCCTCTGTAGTTTTATCACTACTGGGTCCTTTTCTGTAACCCCTTTGGTCACCAATTAATTCCCTGAATCTCCACCCAGAGACTCCACCAGTAGCTCACCGGCTTACTGACTGACTTTCAAAACAGCTGCCCCGTGAAGAGGCAGTTGGCTCCGCCCCTGTTGCTATGGCAACCCAGCTAACGCCAAGCCACCATCTCCAACAAAATATATTCCTTCATACTTACCATCCATAAACCACTGTTTAAATTACACATAACCAAAGGAATAAAATTTACACATTGTCACAGAAAGGATTCAGAAGTTTTGGAAGTTTCAAAAAGTTTTGAACTTTTTTTTTTCTGTGAAAATTGGAATTGACTTTAGAAATGAGTTTTGAACCATTTTTTTTAATCGAGCAAGCCTAGTGGTGTCGTCCAGAAAGTCAGCATTCTCAGCTCCACAGTGATCTCTCTCCATCCAAGGGAGAATCTAGGTTCGGCACATCTTTTGGGGTGTTCAACATGTTTTATGCATCTGACATGGCTAGAATGGAGTGGCATCCGGAAATAGTTTCCTATTGCCTCTGAATGGAGCCCTTCTCCATTCTGCTCAGTTGGTTTCAATCATGGCACTTGTTCTCTTTCTATCCAGGATTCTGGACTTGATGAGGGTTGTATAAAAGGTCAGTTATCATAACAATCATGTCAGTGAATGGCGAAATGACATGGAAATAAAGGATTGTTCCTGGTCTCTCCTTCCGAACGCAACCAGAGGAATGCTTTCAAGACAAGCAATGCCCTAAATGTCAAATCAAGCAGACATTGTTTACACAAACTAAGGCCACGTCTACCATTCAAGCAAGAATGGAGACAAATATAGCTTGCTTGTTTCTGGATCTAAAGGGTCATCCGTGTTTGAGATCTCATGTCAACCTTAAAACCTACTTTTAATCAGCTGTACAAACAAGCTGCATTGGAAAGAAATATTCATCCTTCATAAGGTCACGCTGAGGTCTCCTTGCCTTCCAGTGTTTGTTGGTTTTTAGAAACATCTTCTTCTTAATTTGCGTTCTCGCTGTTTGTTTCTTTGCCGTCTTTTTTTGGAAATGGTATTTGCAAGGTTAGGGCTCAATAAAACATGTTCCAGTTACTGAACTGTGAAGTACACCACTCAAAAATAGTAAAACTGTGAAAAATAGCCTTCAAAAATGCATTGAAGAAGTCTGGAGGGTTAAGGGGTTTCTGGGTGTGATTGTATGGGGGTCAGGGCTATAAAAAAGGGGGTTCAGATTGCAAATGACCCATAACATGCATTTCCCCTGTGAGCTCAAAGGTTCAGAGGCTGCATTTCTTTGCAACTACATTGTGTCTTTGTTTATTTACTTCATTTATTTACAGTATTTATATTCCGCCCTTCTCACCCCGCAGGGGACTCAGGGCCAGGGGCGGCTCAACCATTACGCAAAGTAAGCATTCGCGGTATAGTTGATTTTGCCCAGGGGTGCTCTTGAGGCACTCTTGAGGGAAAATAGACCTTGACATATGCAAGTTGTAGTTACTGGGATGTATAGTGCACCTAAAATCAAAGAGCATTCTGAACTCCACCAATGATGGAATTGAACCAAATATGGCACACAGAACTCCCACGACAAAAAGAAAATATATATCAATGATTGGTTGGGGGGGGGGGGGTGCCAAAATACTGTTTTCTTACCTTTGAAAATTACCTAGGGCCGCCTCTGCTCAGGGCAGATTACAATGTACATATACATGACAAACATTCAATGCCATAGACACAAAACACTGTGTCCCACTGGAGCATTGCAGCACACCCAAGTACCTGGGAGTCACTCTGGACCGTGTCTGACCTACAAGAAGCACTGCCTGAATATCAAGCAAAACGTGGGCACTAGAAACAATATCATACGAAAGCTGACTGGCACAACCTGGGGATCACAACCAGACACAGTTAAGGCATCTGCCCTTGCGCTTTGCTACTCTGCTGCTGAGTATGCATGCCCAGTGTGGAACACATCTCACCATGCTAAAACAGTGGATGTGGCTCTTAATGAGACATGCCGCGTTATCACGGGGTGTCTGCGCCCTACACCACTGGAGAAATTACACTGCTTAGCCGGTATTGCACCACCTGACATCCGCCGAGAAGTAGCAGCCAATAGTGAAAGGACCAAGGCAGAGACATCTCCAGCTCATCCCCTGTTTGGGTATCAGCCAGCACGTCAACGACTTAAATAGAAATAGTTTTCAAAGATCTACAGAGGCACTCGCTGGATCACCTCAGCAAGCAAGAGTCCAAAAGTGGCAGGCTCAAACCCAGAATCTCAACCAATGGCTGATACCAGATGAGAGACTCCCTGCTGGGCACACAGAAGACTGGCTGACTTGGAAGGAGCTGAACAGACTGCGCTCTGGCACCACGAGATACAGAGCCAACCTCAAGAAATGGGACCACAAAGTGGAATCCTCGACATGCGAGTGCGGAGAAGAGCAAACCACTGACCACCTGCTGCAATGCACCCTGAGCCCTGCTACATGCACAATGGAGGACCTTCTTGCAGCAACACCAGAGGCACTCCAAGGGGACAGAGACTGGTCAAAGGACATTTAATCAACAACCAAACTCACACATTTTGTATTTTGTCTGTTTGTTTGCTTTGTTCTGTTAGAAATGTAATATAATTTGACTGGTTGCCCTGACATGACAAATAAATAAATAAATAAATAAATAAACAACATATATAGACAGACACACAGAGGCTATTTAACATTCCAGCTTCTGGCCACCAAGGGAACTGTCATGTCACCGTCCATTTGTGACACTGATGAAATACTTCTTCATTGGGTTGTTGTAGGGTTTTTTTGCGCTATATGGCCATGTTCTAGAAGCATTCTCTCCTGACGTTTCACCTGCATCTATGGCAAGCATCCTCAGAGGTAGTGAGGTGTGTTGGAACTAGGAAAATGGGTTTATATATCTGTGTGTTCTGGTACAGCTGTACCAGGAGCTCCAACTTTATTTGCTTTGTATTAAATATTTGCTTGCAGTCCTAGGTTTCAGGGACTCTGCAGATAGGTGGCTTCTTTGGTTGCAGTCATAGGGCAAGTCACCTGTCCATCATCGTTAAGTTTTGGTACCACCCCTTGCTCAGGGCAATTGGGAAGGGAAGGGAGCCATTTTTAGTTAGTCTCAGCAAGGAAAGCTAATGTACAGGACGTGTGCAAGCTTCCCCTGTACAAAAGCTTCAACCCTTAAGACTTTCTGGGGGAAAACAGTCTGAAGAGTCTCCAAAGAATTTCCAGGAAAACAGCCCTAAAGACCAAAGATCTCCAGCTGGAGAATATCTAAGCCTTTACTGGTAGGTCCACTCGGTGTTTGAGACACAGTTCGACCTGGTAGCGAGCCCACATCAGTAAGAGTTAGATTACAGTCAGCCTGGGAGAAGTTAAAAAGGGGATTTTCCTTTAAAGTAAAGAAGAAGTTATTGAAGACAGTTGCCTGTCCTTCGTGGATGGAATTCAGAATGGTCTTTGATTATAGGTGAACTATAAATCCCAGCAACTGCAACTCCCAAATGACAAAATCATGATATTTTTTTTTGAATGATGGTCACTCCTTGTGTTGCGTGACATTTTGTTGCCAAATTTGGTGTGATTTCGTTCATTGGTTCTTTTGTTTTTAAGGTACTCATTATGCCCAGAGCATTTATATATATATATATATATATATATATAGATAGATAGATAGATAGATAGATAGATAGATAGATAGATAGATAAGCCATTCTAAATCCTATTTTGGAAGGAAAGCAAGATTTCCAACCCTTTTCAATGAATCCAATGATAGAGTTCTGCTTTCTGTTATTCTTCTGTTCTAGTCCAATGGAGTCAGAGGCGGCCCTAGGTAATTTTCAACAGTAAGCAAACAGTATTTTGGTGCCCCCCCAACCAATCATATCATTTATATATATTTTCTGTTTGTCGTGGAGTTCTGTGTGCCATATTTGGTTCAATTCCATCATTGGTGGAGTTCAGAATGCTCTTTGATTGTAGGTGAACTATACATCCCAGTAACTACACTTGCCGCACTTGCTCCCTTGCCTGGCCCGCTTTGGGTCCGGAGGCGTGCCTGAAGACCCCGGCATGTGCACCAAAAGTCACCTCTTCTCCTGACTTTCTCCTCAGCCATTGGGACCAAGAGAGAGAGAGAGAGAGAGAGAGAGGTGGAGATGCCCACCTTTCCTGAAGGTAGGCGCAAAAACAAAGGAGGGAGCGGAGGTGGGAGATACCTCCAGCCGGAGGGGCTCTCTCTCTCTCTCTCTCTTGGTCCCAATGGCTGAAGAGAAAGTCAGGAGAAGAGGCGACTTTTGGTGCGCACGCTGGGGTCTTCAGACACGCCTCCGAACCCGAAGTGGGCCAGGCGCGGCGGTTCCGCCCCTTGGCCCACCTGCGGATTGGGGAGAGGAGAGGAGGCGGGTGGAGTGCCGGGGGATCGGGAAAGGGAGCCGGTCATGGGGAAGGGATCAAACGTGGAGAACGATTGAGCACCGGCTCTGCTCGCACACCCGGTGTCCAGGTGGAGCAGGAATGAGAGGGGCTAGGTGAGGCTCAAGGGCCCGGCGCCTTTGGGAAGAGGATCGCCCGGCAGCAAGGAAAGAAAGCCGAGGCTCCCCCCGGACTGCTAGGGCTGTTGTGAGCTGAGGGGGCGCTCCTCAAGTGGCGGTCGAGGGGCATTTACAGAGGCACCTCTGCGCCCCTGGCAAAAAAAAGTGTTCTGCGACCGCTTACTTCGCGTAATGGACGAGCCGCCCCTGAATGGAGTGGCTGTTACAAAATGACTTATGGATCTAGTTTCTTGGCGGTGTTGATGGAAATGTCTTTGATTCCATCTCTTTCCTTCTGTTGTGTCTGGATCAAAGTGCGGATGCCACTGGATAGGTTGCAGTTCTGCCCTCAAGTACAAGAGGATTGCTGTTTTCATCTATGGAGCATTGTAGAGTTGTAAAAAAAATACGTTCCTGCCTTTTTCAACTACACATACACTGTGTTTGAGTTTTTTCCCAGACTTTTCATTTTAATATTTTAATTGCTGAGCAGAAAAGGAATTAATGGTTCATTACTGCATTTATTTCAACCATAGAGCTGTTATCGGGTTTCAGGTCATGCCTGCTCCCTCTTGAACTTAACCTTTCTCAAAACCTTTACATGACAAGGGTTTAGAAATGGAAATTTAGCAGAACGATGCGAAATGCATTTGGAATGTGGTTCACTCCCTTGGTTCAAGTGACCGCAGTGTAATTAAATTTAATATGCTGTGATTTGGAAATTAGTCGTCTAAGCCTGGATTTGAAAGGATTTGAGAGGAGCTTAAAGTGACTAAAGAAAAGTCATTAAGAGGGAGAGGGAACTCTTAAAGCGGTTCTAAGACCGCGATAACAGAAACAATCCCTTTGTACAGTAACAATACAATCCTTGCCCAGGAATCTCTCGTTCCTGGGCAAGGTGATGGAGAGGGCAGCAGCGGAGCAGTTGCAGCAATTCCTAGACGACACAGCCGGACTAGATCCCTTGAGTCCGGCTTCCGTGTGGGGCATGGGACAGATGTCAGGATTATTTAGTTATGCATTTGTGTTTTCAATGTGTTTCTATGTAATTCAAGATGGATTCTATTCTGCTCTTTTGTGTATTAAAAATGCTGGCTGAGGCAGAGAAAATGTAACCTTGACAGAAATGAGATAACATGGCTGTGAAGAAGAGGGAGGATCTGGTCTCAGCCAGAAGTCAGATAAGCAGATGTTCAGAAACTGTTGTGCTGTGCTTTGTAGTTCCTGTCTGTTGCTTGCTGTGAATAGACGTGTATAGATGTACTTAGTAAACTTAGTTTTCTGTTGTAACCAAGAAGCTTGCAGAATCCTGATTTTTGAACACAGTGTCTGCTGATCTAGCAATCCTTCCGCTGGCAAAGTTTCAATACTCTGACAACAGAGACTGTGCTGGTCTCCATCACGGATCGTCTTCGATGCCAGCTTGACCAGGGCGGGTCGGCGCTGCTTGTGTTATTGGATCTCACAGCAGCATTGGACACAGTCGACCACCATCTTTTGACCCACTGCCTTGCTGCTGTTGGAGTCAGGGGGAGAGCTTTAGAGTGGGTGTCCTCCTCCTTTCTTTCCAACCGTGGACAGCGAGTGGAGAGGGGAGGCCTGGTCTCTGAGAGGTCCCCCCTCTCTCTCTTGTGGGGTTCCTCAGGGGGCCATTCTCTCCCCTCTCTTGTTTAACATCTATATGCGACCACTTGCTCAGCTGGTTCCAGGTTTTGGGCTGGAGTGTTACCAGTACACTGATGACACTCAGCTGGTGCTGAAGATGGAAGGCCGACCGGACTCTGTACCTGATTGTTTCAATCAGTGCCTCGAGGCCGTGACTGGATGGCTGCGTGCCAGCAGGTTGAGGGTGAATCCAGCAAAGACGGAGATCCTATGGCTGGGTCGACCGGGTAGTGGGGATATCCAGCTGCCTACCCTGGATGGTAAGGCGCTATGCCCGTCATCATTGGTAAAGACTCTGGGAGTCCTTTTGGACTCTGTTCTGGTACGGCTGTACCAGGAGCTCCAACCTCCCTTTCCATTTGTTGAGTGTTGCATGTATATTGCGGTTCTGTGCATTTGCAGTTAGCTGGCTTTCCTTAATTTGCATTTATTAGATCTATGACCTGTCAATTATCATTAGGTTCACTAGTCCCGCCCCCTTTTTGGGTTTTGGAGGGAATAGGAGCCATTTTGGGTCAGTCCACACAGAAAAGTCTTTCATACAGGACATAAAACCAGCTCCTGTAGAAAGCTTTGTCGTTTACAGCTTGGCCGGGGAGATATAGTCTCAGCAGAGCTCTTTTGCTGAGAATTTTACAGCCTTACAGCTCCTTTGCTGAGGAATCCAGTCCCACAGCACTTCAGCCAGCCATCACTGAATCCCGAACACCTTCTTTTCTCCTGGAAGTCTACAAAGGACTCTGTATGGTAAGGGCCACTCGCGGCAGCCAGAAGCAGTTGGTACTGGGTGTAGGGGCTCCACACCAACAGAGGCAAAGACAGACTGCCCAGATAAGAGGTTAAGGATTTCCCCATTAGTCAAAATACAGTCATGAAGATAGTGCCTGTCCCCTGTGGACAAGATTGAGAGAGCCAATCGAAGCTCAAGCTAAACCAATTTCTGAGCGCTTGGGACTTCTGAATCCTTTCATTAATGGTTTGAAAGTGTTATTCCCTGTTTCATTGGGTGGTCTTTACTTTGAAAGTAGTTGTTTTACTCAAGGAGCGGGGAAAAGCAAACGGAGGAAATTCACCCTTCTCTGGTTTAAAACTGGCTTCTCTGGCTTGAGCCAGAAGCGGG